TGGGGGGAAGGGGGGAGAGAGGAGGGGAGAGGGGAGGGGCATATCGAGGCCCCAGAGGTAAGGGAGGGAGTGGGGCTGGGGCACGTTCAGGCACTGCACAGCTAAGGCACAGCATGGGACGGAGCTACAAGGGGGAGCGGCTCCAGCCACTGCATGCACCCTGGGAAGGCACTGGGGGGGTGCCCCTGGATCTGTGTGGGGCGCGTTATGGCAGGCTGCAGCTGCAGGCTGGGGCCGGGGGCTGCACTGGGTTCTTCCCGGTGGGGAGCAGGGGGGCCTGCGCTACGCTCGGGGTAGGTGGCGGTGGCACTGGGAGGTTGACTACGGGGGGGTATGGCAAAATCTGGGTGGCTGCAGCACCCCCGTAACTGCCGTCCCAGTGACACTGCTGCCTGCCGCAAGCACAGCGCAGCCAGCCCACCCCCACCAGGAAGAGCCCAGGGCAGCCTTGGCCCCAGCCCGTAGCAGCACCCCACCCCACACATCTGGGAGCACATGCCCCCTCCCCCCCATGCCCTCCCGGGTGCACGCAGCAGCAGGAGCCACTCCCTATCCCCACACCCTCCGGAAGAGCCGCGTCTCCGTCCCACACCCTGCCCTGTCCCGGCTGGGCAGCGCCTACCCCAGCCCCAGTCCCACTCCCTCCCTCACCACGGGTGGCATTGATCTGCACCCCACATGGCCCTTCCCTCCCCACTCCCCTTCCACCACAACAGACTTACCAGCTGCACGCAGCTCTCCAAGCTGCTGGGCTGTGCTCCTTGCTGCCTGCTCTAGGCTGCGCACATGCACGGGCATTTATCAGCAAAATTATTGGCCACATCAGGCCAATTTCCGATAATCAATTTTCTTTATACTGATGCCGGTCCGATACTGGACTGACGTATTGGTGCACCTCTGCTGTTTAGCTTTCAACGCTTCCCCCCACAATCTATTTCTGGTCTTCATAAAGTGGTAAATAAAATGTCCTGAATCCAGCCTTCCCTTCATTTTGCAGCCCACATGAAACACACCCCTTTTTTTTGCAAAACAGTTATTTGCACTTGCTCCCACACCTTCTTTCCAAATACTGCATCAACAGGTTTCAGCACAATAACCATCCTATGGTCTACCCACTGCCCACACAGCATATAGGTCTGTGCCATGGACCAGAACCAATTTGCACAGAGCTTCTCTTCCTCCTCTCTCCCTGCCCTATTCAAGTCAGAATACCCTTTGTACAGTTTTCTTTGATCACCATCCAAATTTCTGGTGACAATGAATTTCCCACAACATCCTAGGGGGCCTCAAAACACAATCTTACTTCACATAAGGAAATATGGCTTCCTCTCACTGGGAACACTGAAACTCAGACACTGAGCTGGCAGTCTTCTGCAGGTATTTACCAATTCTAAATGGAGTTGCTGGAGGCAATGTGGCCTTGAAGTGCTTGAGCGAAAATAAGGAGTTGAAGCTGTTTCACTTTTCACCTGTGCTTAGCACGAAAGACAGTCTCCTTTCAGGCGTGGATCCAGGAAACCAGACCATATTCATGAGAACCCAAAATAGCTAGGCTAGCTACTACCATAAACTTTGCAGGTCACCACACTTGGAGGCTATAAAGGGATTTCAACAATACATATAATTATATGCCAGATAATATCCAAATGCTGCCATCATAGAATCATAGGGTTGGAAGAGACCTTCAAGAGTCATCTAGTTCAATTCCTTGAACAGATGCAGGATTCGTTCAGCCTCTTCTTGAAAACCAACAGTGAAAACGATTCCACAACTTCCCTGGGCAGCTTGTTCCATTGTCCTACTGAAAAACTTACAATTAGGACGTTTTTCTTGAGATTTAACCTAAATTTGCTTTTCTGCAATTTAAATTCATTGCAAGCATCCTGCCCTCTGTGACAAAGGAGAACAATGTTACTCAATCTTCTTTATGGCAGCTTTTCAAATATTCCAGTTTTTCCAACATACCTCAAAAGCTAACCATGGTTTGGCAAAAATCCTACCCATTACCCACAGCAGGTAAGTGGAGGCTGAATGAACAAGAAACTCATTTACAGAGTTATAAATATACCACTATAATTCAATGCCGGTGGATTCATACTCAAGACTTACAGCAGACGGAAGGTACACGCCTCACAGTTGTACAGTGGCAGGGGTTCTCACCTAAAGAACATGCACATGACAAAATGAGATCTCCACCAGTACAAGAAGAACTGTTTCTTTTGGAACCTTCGACAAAAGGGGGCACGGATAGCTTCAAAGTCTAAGGTTATGGCAGAAAGCAGATTCAACTATGCTGCTTTCCCAGAGCACTACCACATAGCATCTCAGTCCAAGAAATTATCCAAATTCCCCAAGAAGCTGCCTCTGATGTATCACATCATTGTTTCCCCACATCTTACTGATCTACTGCATTAATGTACTTGTTAATAAGATACAAAAGCTAATTTAATGCGGTGGCATGAATCTCTAAATTTCCCTTGGGGACAAGACAATTGTGGAGGTGCTTTTGGCAAGACTGTTGCAGGAATGATTTCACAACACCGAACTCATGAGGGATACAACAAGGCTCTCCTGAAAGACACGCACCATGACAGACTGATCAGATACCAGGGAGGGGTTACAGGCAGTTTCCAGCTCAAAAAAGAAACAGTTATAGCTCAGCAGAGCATGGATACCTTTTCCTTTCACTGAGCTGAGATCCAGCAGTCCCTCCTTCCTGCAGCGCACAGAAGTATTTTATAATTTAAAAAAATTCTCTGCCTACACAGATGAACTAAGACCTCCTCAGCAGCAGATACCGAGTGTGTTTCATTAGAGTCCAATCACTCTTTACTCCAGCAACACACACATGTTCCTGTCAGTAGCATAGGTCATGGTAACACAGAGGACTCTCCGAGGTAGATGAGTAGGTTTTATCCTATCAGAAAAGATGGGGTAAACAAATAGTGCATATTGGAAATACTCAGCCAAAGCAATGAAAACCAGTATTACAAGTAGGGTTTCACACTGGGGACAAAGAGAATATTTCAACAAAATGTTATTCACCGCACCTGCTGTTTTGTGTGTTCTCTCTGGTAACATAGCTATATTTGTAAAGCTTCAGCTTCTAAATCTGCAATTTTCAAATTGTGGGGTGCACCCCCCTGGGAGGACATAAAGGAACTGGGGGGGGGGGCAGTGCAGGACAGGGGGACGCGGGCAATAAGTTTGCAAGGAGCCGGTGCTGCTGCAGCTTTGCAGGGGGATGCGGGGGCGGAGAGTCCCAAACAGGCTCCACCAGAGGGCTGCTGTGCCTCTGCAAGCCCAGAGCGACAGACACAGCCTAGAGCCACAGCGGGGGCAAGGAGGCACTGGAGCCGTGGCAGGTAGAGCCCACGTGATGGCTGCTAGGATGACGGGCACCCTGTGCCTGGCTGCGCTGCTCCTCTGGGGTGAGGAAGGGTTGGGACACATGAACAAAATCATAACTCAAAGGGGGGGGGGTTCAGCTCAAAAAAGTTTGAAAACCGCTGTTCTAAACAAGCAATAGGATGATAGCACTTCAGGCCAAGGACTACAAAGCTCTTCATATTTATTAATCAAACCTCACAGCAGGGAGGAGTTATCCTCCTCATTTTGTAAGTGCAGAAACAAAAATACGCAAAGGGTAGACAATTTGCCAGAGGTCATAAATGAGTCAGTGGCAGAGTCAGGAATAGAGGCTGGTCTCCCTGATTCATAGTCCCTTGCTCTTACCACAAGGCAATGTCACCCAGTCTGGTTCCTCCTCCTGACTGACCCTGCAATTAAATTACCGTCCATTCCTTATGACATCAGAGTCAATTCCAGATGAATGATTGCTTCCATCAGGAATTCAGCTCCCTGACTTGTCTGTGTTCAGTGTCCCCCCTTGGTCCACTTGTTTTAAACCTTTGACCTTCACTCCCATCCATTCTGTATTTTACTTGTCCCAAGCAATCACTTATATGCCCTTAATACCCGCCCCCGCCCACTTATTAAATGGGGTTTGTGGCTCTACTCGGTGGGCATTGGCCCACCTTCTGGAATGGCATGTCAAAAGGTCAGACTTCACTCTGACACCAGGAGGATGACGAACAATGAAGAGAAAACCAGTGCTTAAAAGGCATAGTTACCATCCCCAAGAGCAAAAATGGCAAGAATAATGGATTAGGAAGAACACACAAGAAAAAGCGGGTAGTTAGATCAAGGGTTCTCAACTTCCTAACAATGGGGACCAT